GTGCTGGTTAGCCATGGGCAACCAAGCCGTTTATTCGTGATCTGTTTCGTTTTTATAAGACAATGTTTTTTGTATAGTCTAAGTAATTTGTTGAGAAAACCCTCCGGTCACAATCCAAGGCCTTGGAAAATTTCTGACCCCAGTCAACATCTTAGGTCACTGTGAAATTCCCTTTTTGACCCTCGTCATGGAGTCTAAATGAAACTTTTTGTATTCCAGGGGGGTTTTACTAATGTTTGTAAAAGGGGAAGGTGGGTATGGTCTGTAGTGTTGTTGTGTTTTATCCTTTTTTAAGGGGGGGCTAGTATATTGGTCCATAGGGGTCTATTATGGTTGCACTTGTCTCATGAGCCGGGTTGGTTTTTAGTTATTTTTGGGTTGAGAAGTGTGTTTTCATATTGTTGAGAAATCAGTTACAATGTATCAGTGGGCCAAGGTTGAAAGAAGTCTCCAGCTAAGAAAAGGTGGTCTTGCTCATTTGTCTGTTTGTTATTAGTGACTTTAATTTCTCACTAAAATTTTGGGGATGTTTGTGTGGGGTATCCGGTAAATAACTGATTGTTAAGCTCTTAAAGTTTTTTACAGAAAAAATTACAAAAAAGTATTCCCCATATATCACTAAAGCAATGGTGCAATACAAATAGTTGGTTAAGTAATGATTGCAATACTACCCCCAACTTGTATGGTCTGCGTTGTGGATTCTGTGTATCCTGGTAAGGGAAATTTACTATTGTGCCCTGCTTAACCGTCAAATAAAAAAATGCAGAGAAGGGTGTTTTTTAGTGACTAAAGGGATCCCGGGGGTCATGTTAAAATTTGAATCTAGACGCCCAAGCCATACATTTTTAAATCCACTTTGTATATAAATACCTCCCCAAAAATAATACTGTCTTACCCCCAACTGTAGCATTCTCATACTTTAAACTACTTCAACAACCCCCAAGTTTTTTCCCCCAAAATTTTTTCGTATTCATTTTGAACACTGTAATCAAGTAAAAACTACTGTCGCTTAAAAACAAAGAAGATGTAAAAATTTCTTTAGTATTAAGCAGTAGTAAGCCTTTTTAAAATAAGTCGCCCATAATGCCCGGGATGATATGGCCTCTTTCACTTACCCCCTTATTGTAATTTTATAATCCAAAGAAACCTGCAAAGAAAATAAACTTTGTTTTTTTTGTTTTTTGGTGAGCGTAATGTAAATTAGGGGGGAAATTTCGAAAACGAGAGTAAACAATTGTTTTTGGTGTTTCAGATGCAAAAAAAAGGATTAAGGGTTTTCATTTGGTTGTGACGATGGGGTTTTGTTAGGGAGATGCAAGGAACTCCGGTTTCGCACCACCGGATTCGGGTTTTAGGATTTTAAACCATTTTTGGGCAAATTTTGCTCCGGATTTCGTACCTTGTCCAGGAATCATACGTACAGACTGTTCGCCCACTAGGGGGCGCCCCCTCAGTCTGGCTTTGTCCTGGTTGAGTGAGCATTCACTGAAAAATTTCACAATTTTTTTGCTTGCTTATTGATTGCGAGTGCGAAACAAGCCACCAGGGCCCAAATAAAGTTCCTAGTGCCGCCCCTTTGGTAAAAAAAATAAGAAAAACGAACAACGTTGTGGTAGAGGGGGGGAGTGATGGTGGTGTGGTTTTGATGGGGTAGGGGTGGTAGGATGGGGTAGTGATGGGGTAGTGATATGGGAGAGGGGGTAGTGATGGTGGGAGAGGGGGTAGTGTGGTGGAAAGGGGGTAGTGACTGCATAGAGGGGAGTAGTGATGGTAGAGGGTGGTAGTGAGGGGGGAGAGGGTGGGGAGTGATATGGTAGGGTGGTAGTGATTGTGGGGAGAGGGGGGTAGGGTGGTGGGGAGGGTGGAGTTTGTGGTAGAGGGGGGTAGTGACTGGTAAGGGTGGTAGTGATTGTGGTAGAGGGGGGTAGTGATTTTTGGTAGAGGGGGGTATGATGGTGATAAGATAGCCCTCCCCCCCCCCCGCCTTCTTCAATAAACCCCAAAAAAGTTTTTTATTTATCATTAAAATTAGTGCTTTTATTTATTTTTCATTGTTTTTTGAAAAAAACTATAGATTCTTTAAAAAATAAATTTTTGTGAATATTTTTGGGGGTCGGAATGGGACAATTAGATTTACATTATTTCTTATGGAAATATTATTTCAAATTTCGTACTTTTGGATTTAAATGACCTTCTGGAACAGATTAAGTACAAAATCCGGGGTTCCACATAATAGTTTTTTAATGGTATTTTAAAAAAGGGGTGGAGGGGTCTCAGTTCTAGAGTTTTCAGGCGGGGAGTTCCAGATTTTAGGCCTTAAAATGACAAAAATTTTGAGGGGTTTCACCCAAACAGGGGAAATGTCACAGAGTTTTTTGTGCTGGTATTTTTCTAGGGGTCCTTTCAACTTGAAGAAATTTTTTTATACGGTTAATATTAAATATAGGTTTTTTAAATGAGGTTGCACAAGTATGGAAGTTCTGTACAGTGAGTGGGTTAGGGGGTTTGAAGAGTGGGGGGGGGGGGTGTTGTCTACTTGATTGCTGATAATCTTACTGCATTTTTCTTTTGGGTTATTATTGACTTGGGTGAGTTGCTCTGTTGATCCCCGGGCACAAATAACATAGGGGGGTAAGGATAGAGAGTAAATTAAAGTGTAATTAGGGCGATTTGGGGGTATGTATAACATTTTCGAGGGGATCCCAACTTTTTTGGGATCTTTTTTGTTATTTTTGAATACGGTTTTGAATTCATTTTGCGTAAGGGGTTCGGGCCCAGAATTTGCACTCATTTGTTTAAAATAAAGTGTTGTCAATTGTTATGTTACTGGCAACACCTTTTTTTCCCAAGAAAAACGTAAAAGGGTTTTTTCAATAAAAAATAAAGTTTTTTTGCATCACCGGGTTGATATTTTTACAAGCCATTAACAATATTTTGATGAGGGAAGATTTACCCCGGAGATGACATAGGTTTGTCACAAAGAGAAGTTTTAAGGGGTCGTGATACATTAGAAATCACTGATGTAAAGAAAAGAGCAGGGACCAAGGCACTTTCCCTTTTGGGACCCAGTATCCAAGGTCTTACTGATGAGTTGTGTCCTTAAAGAGACATACTGTGCCGTCATAAGGTTAGATTTAAATACGTAATGCGCGGCCTCTTATCCTAAAAATCAAGTTTTGGATAGGATGCGTGGTCTACTGTATCAAAACTTTTCCCTTTGGCATAAAGATCCCCAATGGATATTTAATTTTTTTTAATGCGTGTAAAGCATTTTTAAAATTTTTACAATTGCATCGTTTTTGCTTTTCTTTTCCGAAGCCAAAATGGGAAAAGGGGGGAGGGGCTTTTGGGCTGTTATAAAGGGTATAACTCTTGGCAAAAGCTTCTTTGAAGATTCTGGATAGCAAAAGTAAGTTTGAATTTGGGCCCGTAGTTGTTTCATCTTTGGGGGCACCACCTTTGTGTATTGGTGTACCCTTGCTACTTTTGGGGGAAAAGTAATTTTCTCTAGGTTTTCCCATTTGCAGTTTCGAGGAATTCTAGCAAGAAGGGAAAGGGAGTTTCCCGGTACATACAGGTCCCCCACCCTAAAGTCAACCCACCACTAGGCATGGCTCGTACTCAGTTTTGATGGCAAGCACAACACCTGGTTTATCAGGTCCTGATCCCCATGAGGCCCGGTCACAGACCGGGCCCCAGGGGGGTTGACCCCCAAAACCCCCCCAGTATACTCCAGAATGCTCCTCCATATCAGTCTGGGTAATTTTCCCCCCGAAACTTTATAAAAAATTTTCTGCCAACTCCAACGAAATTTCCACTAAAAAACACCCATCACTACTCACTCCTATCTAATACACCCACAAGCCTCTAAATGCTTAACCCCTAAACCTTTAAAACCTCTTTTACCCCCTTTTATCCCAAATTTTTAAACACCCCTGTCCCTTTTTCCCATCTTTCACCTTTTCCTTATACCCCTCCCGTCCATCCTCCTTCATGCCCAAACCAATTGACACCCCTCTGCACCAACATCACCTTTTATTTCTATGCTGCAAACTCCTGCTGTATTCAACCACTTTTCCCTTTAAAAAAAACATCTCTACCACCTCCAGGGTCCTCATTGCAACTTCAAAACCCTGCCCCACCCCAAAAAACATTGGTACCAAATAAACTCTGGGAAAATTTCCTGTTTTTTTTTTTTCCCCCATTTAAAAGCTTCTTTCCTCACAATAATTCAACAAAACAACCACTTTTTTCCCCTCATCTATTCTATGGTCACCTCATTTTTCATAGACCCATCTTCTGACATGTCCACTTCCAAATATCTAAATCATGTACATCCACTTCTTTTAGACTCCTCCTCTCTAATCTAATATTTCATCTATCATTGCTGTGCTGTTTTCTATAATCAATTTTAATTTCCTTCTCTGACATATTATCCCAACTTTATCAACCAATTTTGTAATTTACCTTCAGGATCCCCTTAAAGAATTGAGTCATCAGCAATGAGCAACTGGGATAGCTCCCACTTTTATCAGATCAAACATCTTTCAGTCCCAAACTCCATCTCTTATTTCACAACCCTATCTATAATAATAATAATAATAATAATAATAATAATAATAATAATAATAATAATAATAATAATAATATAATGTTTTTATTTTAGCATGATACATGTTTGTACGAAGGAGTGTAACAACTGGGTGAACATGCCAAAAGCCCCTTTATATGCAGAGCATTTTGGGCAAATTTCAACCACCACGGTAACATCATACATTCCTATGTTAACACTACTTTTACTAACAAACAGTCCTTGTCCCTCCTACATACCCTAACCTGGGCCTCGGTCTATGAATAAAAAACTCATTTACTTTTAGTAACCTACCTCATATTCCATACATTTGCAACATCTGCCCCTTACCTTTATCAAAGTACTGCTCACCAAAAAAATAGTTACATGCAATTAAAGGTTAACCAGTTACATGCAATGGACACAATACCTGTACTGGCTCGGAAAGCTTCATGATTGGCTTAAGGTGAGGGAGGATGTGTTCCACAAACTCTTCCTTACTTGCACGTTCAGCTACCAACAAGATGACAGGAAGAACAAAAGGTACCATAGTTGCATTGATACACTCTTTCATCAAGGAAGGTACAATTCTGTAACCAACACGAAAACAAAATAAAACATTAATAGATTTATAATAAATTTCCTTTTATAATAAAGTAACTGTATAAATTCTGAATACTCAGTCTCTTGGGCAATTTTATCCAATAGGTGCTGTGCTCATTCCAAGTAGCCCCAGAACAAAATACTGAGAATAGAAATGAGAAAAATCAAACAGTTAATACAACCTGGTAGGTGTGAAGCTGTAGACAATATAAGTTTAAAGATGTGAGAGCAAGCATCCTACTCAGTATATCACCAGCTCATATCAGCCATATAATTTCAGTGGTATGTGCAAAACAAACTACTTTTTCTAGAGCCCAAAACAAAAATTCATTTAGGACATTATAATCACAGAACGGTACCGCACATCCTATCGCATGAGGAAAATTCTTCTTCTTTCGACAAACCAGCCATATCCCACTGAAGCAGAGTGGTCCTAAAAGAAAAACAAACATTTCTCTTTTTAACTTTAACCCTTTCAGGGTCCAAGGCCCAAATCTGGAGTCACACACCAGTGTCCAAGAATTTTCAAAAAAAAAATTTGTTATTTTTTCTTATGAAATCGTAGAGAATCTTTTTGTGAAGGTAATAAAACAAAAAGTACGAAATTTGGTGGAAAATTGACGAAATTATGCTCTCGCAAATTTTGATGTGTCAGCGATATTTACGAATCGGCGATTTTGCCGACTTTGACTCCCATTTTAGGCCAATTACATTATTCCAATCAACCAAATTCTTAGCTATTTCACTAGTATTACTTCTATTCTATCGATTGAGCACAAGAAATCGCCAAGTCAACTGTTTCAACTACAAAATAAAGTGATCGGAAATTGTTAATTTGGCCAATTTAACACAAAGTTCAAAATATTCCAATTTCAAAATAGGTCCAGAATGAACAATGTAGGCATTCCTGGCACTAAACTAACATTTCCTCTGTTCATTAGTTATGTTTTGAGGCTTTACAAATAAATTCCATTTTAATTTTTTATTCACATAATGAATTTTTATTCACACCAAAAAATAGAAGATTTACTGTTATGCAATACTGTAATAATTGTATATATATCATCACCATATTTGTGAATGTATATTAGACCCACCAGCTGACGTGTATTAGACGTGTGAGGTCGTTTGTTTACTCTTGAATATCGGCAAAAATTTAACATTTCTGCTACTTTGAGCTCAGTTTCAAGCCATTTCCAGTGCTAAAACCAATCAAAATCATCTCTATTTCTGTAATATGTCTTCCATTCTATCAAATGAGACCAAGAAATCGCAAATACAACTATAAAAAACATACGAAAAAACACTGCAAAGTTGCTGTTTTAATCGAAAAATCATGATTTAATTTTTTTTCTCTCATTATACACAGTGTGCTGCAGGATCTGTTTTATGTGGTGCACACATACCACATAGATGTATTCTCTCATATCTAGGCCCAAATGTACCACTCACAGTTTATCAGAGTGAGCTGAGCTCATGGCGTAGATCTACGGTTTGGACCCTGAACATAAAGCCGTAGATCTACGGGACGGACCCTGAAAGGGTTAAAAATGTACACAGGAGAAAGGGTTACTAGCCCCTTGTTCCTGGCATTTTAGTTGCCTCTTATGGAGGAAGAATTCGGTTCCACTTCCTATGGAGAATAAGGAGTATTATGCCTATAAAAATGGGCTTGTTGTGATGAGGGACAAAGAGCTGGCACTCACTCCTCATGAAGTGAAATAGGTACAGTAATTGTAGTAGGTAGTAGGTTGGTAGACAGCAACCACCCAGGGAGGTACTACCGTCCTGCCAAGTGAGTGTAAAACGAAAGCCTGTAATTGTTTTACATGATGGTAGGATTGCTGGTGTCTTTTGTCTGTCTCATAAATATGCAAGATTACAGGTACGTCTTGCTACTTCTACTTACACTTAGGTCACACTACACATACATGTACACGTTTATTTATACACACTCATCTGAGTTTTCTTTGATTTTATCTTAATAGTTCTTGGTCTTATTACTTTTCCTTTTATATCCATGGGGAAGTGGAATAAGAATCTTTCCTCCGTAAGCCATGCGTGTTGTAAAAGTCAACTAAAATGCCGGGAACAATGGGCTAGTAACCCCTTTTCCTGTAAAGATTACTAAAAAGAATAAGAAGAAGAAAATTGTCAAAGTGGGAAGTCTGAATGTGCGTGGATGTTGTGCAAATGATAAGAAAGAGATGATTGTGGATGTTATGAATGAGAAGAAACTGGATGTCCTGGCTTTAAGTGAAACAAAGCTGAAGGGGGGTGGGAGAGTTTCAATGGAGAGAAATAAAGGGGATTAGGTCAGGGTTTCAAATAGAGTTAGAGCTAAAAAAGGGAGTAGCAATAATGTTGAAGGGATAAGCTATGGCGGGAAAAGAGGGACTACAAATGTATAAATTCAAGGATTATGTTGGGTAAAATAAAGATTTGGATGTGAAAAATGGGTTATAGTAAGCGTGTATGCACCTGGAGAAGAGGAAGTGTAAGGAGAGAGAGAGATTCTGGGAAATGTTTTAGTGAATGGGGTGGGGGAGTTTTGAATAAGTGTGAGAGTAATGGTGGTTGGGGATTTCAATGCTAAAGTGGGTAAAATGTTATGAGGGAGTGTAGGTAATTTTGGGTGCCAGGGTAAATGTAAATAGGAGCCTTTAATTGAGCTATGTTGTAAAAGAAATTTGGTAATAAGTAATACATATTTTTTGAAAAAGAGGATAAATAAATATACAAGGTATGATGTAGCACGTAATGAAAGTAGTTTTTTTAGATTATGTATTGGTGGATAAAAGGGGATGGTAGGCTCCAGGATGTTCATGTTTATAGAGGGGCAACTGATATATCGGATCATTATTTAGTTGTAGCTACAGTTAGAGTAAGAGGTAGATGGGAAAAGAGGAAGGGGGCAACAACAAGTAAGAGGGAGGTGAAAGTGTATAAACTAAGGGAGGAGGAAGTTCGGGCGAGATATAAGCGACTATTGGGAGAAAGGTGGGCTAGTGCAAAGATGAGTAGTGGGGGGGTTGAAGAGGGTTGGAATAGTTTTAAAAATGCAGTATTAGAATGTGGGGCAGAAGTTTGTGGTTATAGGAGGGTGGGGGCAGGAGGAAAGAGGAGTGATTGGTGGAATGATGAAGTAAAGGGTGTGATAAAAGAGAAAAAGGTAGCTTACGAGAGGTTTTTACAAAGCAGAATTTGTTATAAGAAGAGCAGAATATATGGAGAGTAAAAGAAAGGTGAAGAGAGTGGTGAGAGAGTGCAAAAGGAGAGCAGATGAAAGAGTGGGAGAGGCACTGTCAAGAAATTTTTATGAAAATAAAAAAAAATTTTTGGGAAAAGTGAGTTAAACAAGTTAAGAAAGCCTAGGGAAAGTATGGATTTGTCAGTTAAAAACAGAGTAGGGGAGTTAGTAGAGGGGGAGAGGGAGGTATTAGGTAGATGGCGAGAATATTTTGAGGAACTTTTAAATGTTAAGGAAGAAAGGGAGGCGGTAATTTCATGCACTGGCCAGGGAGGTATACCATCTTTTAGGAGTGAAGAAGAGCAGAATGTAAGTGTGGTGGAGGTACGTGAGGCATTACGTAGAATGAAAGGGGGTAAAGCAGCTGGAACTGATGGGATCATGACAGAAATGTTAAAAGCAGGGGGGGATATAGTGTTGGAGTGGTTGGTACTTTTGTTTAATAAATGTATGAAAGAGGGGAAGGTACCTAGGGATTGGCGGAGAGCATGTTATAGTCCCTTTATATAAAGGGAAAGGGGACAAAAGAGATTGTAAAAATTATAGAGGAATAAGTTTACTGAGTATACCAGGAAAAGTATATGGTAGGTTATAATTGAAAGAATTAGAGGTAAGACAGATGTAGAATTGCGGACGAGCAAGGAGGCTTCAGAGTGGGTAGGGGATGTGTAGATCAAGTGTTTACATTAAACATATATGTGAACAGTATTTAGATAAAGGTAGGGAAGTTTTTATTGCATTTATGGATTTAGAAAAGGCATATGATAGAGTGGATAGAGGAGCAATGTGGCAGATGTTGCAAGTATATGGAATAGGTGGTAAGTTACTAAATGCTGTAAAGAGCTTTTATGAGGATAGTGAGGCTCAGGTTAGGGTGTGTAGAAGAGAGGGAGAATACTTCCCGGTAAAAGTAGGTCTTAGACAGGGATGTGTAATGTCACCATGGTTGTTTAATATATTTATAGATGGGGTTGTAAAAGAAGTAAATGCTAGGGTGTTCGGGAGAGGGGTGGGATTAAATTATGGGGAATCAAATTCAAAATGGGAATTGACACAGTTACTTTTTGCTGATGATACTGTGCTTATGGGAGATTCTAAAAAAAATTACAAAGGTTAGTGGATGAGTTTGAGAATGTGTGTAAAGGTAGAAAGTTGAAAGTGAACATAGAAAAGAGTAAGGTGATGGGGTATCAAATGATTTAGATAAAGAAAAATTGGATATCAAATTTGGGAGGAGGAGTATGGAAGAAGTGAATGTTTTCAGATACTTGGGAGTTGACGTGTCGGCGGATGGATTTATGAAGGATGAGGTTAATCATAGAATTGATGAGGGAAAAAAGGTGAGTGGTGCGTTGAGGTATATGTGGAGTCAAAAAACGTTATCTATGGAGGCAAAGAAGGGAATGTATGAAAGTATAGTAGTACCAACACTCTTATATGGATGTGAAGCTTGGGTGGTAAATGCAGCAGCGAGGAGACGGTTGGAGGCAGTGGAGATGTCCTGTCTAAGGGCAATGTGTGGTGTAAATATTATGCAGAAAATTCGGAGTGTGGAAATTAGGAGAAGGTGTGGAGTTAATAAAAGCATTAGTCAGAGGGCAGAAGAGGGGTTGTTGAGGTGGTTTGGTCATTTAGAGAGAATGGATCAAAGTAGAATGACATGGAAAGCATATAAATCTATAGGGGAAGGAAAGAGGGGTAGGGGTCGTCCTCGAAAGGGTTGGAAAGAGGGGGTAA